CAATATGAACATTGAACACACAAGTGAAAAATCAATTGCAATTGTTCTTTTATTTCTGTATTTGCCAAAGCAGAAAAGTGACGTTAGAAACACGTTTGAAAGTCTCACAATTCACCCTTTACCAAGAAAATCCACCAACGTCTAAAATGTCACCTCTTCTTGAGGAAATTCTTTCAAATGAACAGCCAATAATAACACTTAGAGACGACTAGTTCTCGACTGGATCAGAAATGAATTTAGAAAATAATGTAAAATACTGTATATTTTCCCAAATTATTGTTAAAAAGCATTGGTTTTCCCACGATCTATAATTATGAACAAAATAAAATAATGGGTTTTGTACATGTAGACTGTCAATATGGAGTTTTTAACAATGGTATTTATTTATATATATATATATATGAGGCATTATTATTATCATTATTATAATTATTGTGATTTTTTTTCTCTAATTTAGAATAACATCATATCCAAAAAGCTCTCAGCAAAGACTCGTGACTCACTGAGAAATACCCGAGACCCACTTGGATCTCGACCCACCGCTGGGATTTGACCCATAATGGGATGTAAAAATATTGTCTTTTTTAATATCAAAATGTGCCTTTTTGGTGATGTAACAGTAATTCACATATTTCAATAACATAGGATTTGGACAGAAGGGACCAAGAAGAAAGTGATGATGGAGATAAGAAAAACTCCAACAACTCAAAGGGGGAGAAAGTTTGTTCAGACACTTTTATGGTCTCTGCTCCTGACATTTATGGGTCAAATGCAGAGGGAAAACCGAGAAAGTAAGGCATTAATCAAGCACTTGGTCCAGAATGTACAAATTAACCTTGTTTTTGGCACAGACCCACCTCCTCCTCTCGCCGCGGTTTGACGGAGGACTCGGCCGCTCTTCACTGGACCCTGGAGCTCTGCGTGGTTTAAATCTAATCCTGGAACAGAAGCGTTGAGTGGGGAGAGCATTAATAACCTCACAAAGTGCCGGACAGTCCTTGTGTGAAAATGCACGAGCACGTAGCACCGGCGTTGAGGATCTGGCGGCCCCCAAAAACCCGATGGTACTAGACCCTGGCCGAGTGCTTGGCATACTTACCGCGGGAATGATAAAGTGCTGCTCGCGGCTTAAAGAAGAGCTATGTGCTGGTTGTAAACAGTTAGCGCCTTAGCTTAAGTGACAAAGTGCAGTAGAAGTTAGCATTCTGATGTGCTCTCACCTAAATATGGTGCAATAGGAGTTCCTTCTGGCTCTTCAAGGAGGCTTTTTTAAGCCTTTAAGGCAAGACAAGGAAAGGGGTGTTTATTTGTGTAGCACAGTTCATACACAAGGCAACTCAAAGTGCTAAACAAAGAGACAATATCACACAAGGAATTATAATATGAAATAATCACTGTACATGAAAAAGAATTCAGCTAAAATCCCTCATTTGTTGCAGCTAAACAGAACTGTTTTTAACCCGGATTTAAACATTGCCAGAGAAATATACCTGTCTCACATTTTCAAGAAGACTGTTCCAGATTTTTGGCACAGACTGGTTGCCTCGCTTCTGTCAGTGTGCCCCAGGGCAGCTGTGGCTACAGCAGTAGTTTATCACCACAGTGTTTGAAGTGAAAGAATAATGACATGTGAAGTGTCTTTGAGTGTCCAAAAAAGAGTTGTATAAAACCGATGCATTAATAATAATAATAATATTATTATTATTATGTACTTTGGTGCGAGCCAAGTTCATTCCAAGTCTCTCCATGAGCTCGTTCATTATATTAACCATGTAACAACTTCACCTCATCAAAAACAGACTTGTTTTAGAACCATCCACGCTCATGTCAGGAACTTCTGGTACAAACATGAAACTTTTCCGTCTAAAAGCCCCTGACATCAGTCCTATGACATCATGCTCAGCAGTGGCAGAGGTATTCATGCATTTATTTATTTAAAGTTGGGGGACCAACCACAATAATTAGAAAAATGTAGCTTGAATCCAAGCAGCCCGTTGTTCAATAAACAGTCTAGTTCCTGGTCTAGTTTTGACACATTTACATCCATATGATCAGATAGTGACTCAGAGGGCTCTTATACGTTTGCCAAAGATCAAACAGTTGAGAGCTGCGTACTGTTTCCTGAATTCTCATGTATTCATTAATGAATGAAACACAGTTTGACAGATGTAATCGTTCCCACTCTTGCCGAATGAAAACCAGATGTATAATTTACAAAACCCATTGAAGCATTTCCGGGCGTTCCCAGTGCTGCTCCAAACATGGCAGATTTCTATCGTAACAACATTAATGCCATTCTGACCCAGAATTCATAGGGTATTTACCAACTAGTGCCATACGGAACCAAAGTGAGCGCCCATATTTCATTTCAGAATAAGAGAGAGCTTCTAAGTCCCTGATGATTGATTTTGCAGCAGAGTGGCAGAACAATATTAGTTCTGTGCGTGATCCGTCCTGCTACAGTAAACGCAGAGGAGACCGTAGCTCCCCTTCAGCTGTTTGCATATTATGAGTCATGAAACGCCGTGGCAGGTAATTCCACTATTCCTCAGGTCCATACATTTTTCATATGATTCATTTCTCCTCCAGCGGCCGGCGTCTAAACAAAACAAATGAGCGCCCGTCTGAAGTGACTGCGGTGCCTGCGACCGACAAATCAAAAGAGCTCCAGCGATTGTTCTGGTTCTGACGGGGAAAAGCTAATGCGCTAACGAGTGGTCGAGGAAAACTCCGAAATTGCTCAAATTTGGCTAAAAGTTTCTTAGTTTGAGTGCATTTTGACTGAGCCTTAAAACAAGATTTAGAGATGAGAAAATACAAAAGAATTTCAAGTATATTGTTGCTTTCTCCGGGCTCCTAAATCCATCTGTTTTTACCATAATCATGAATCCCACCGTTACTAAAACTTGACCGTGATAATATTCAAGTCCATAGATTGTTGAATACAGCTCGGTTTCTTTCCAGTTTGTAACAGGAAGTCCAGTTTTAGCCAAGTTTAGACAACCTGCTGGGATCGTTTTACCGTCTACTGAAATGCTCGGGTGTCATTCACATAAACCGCCACACGGGGAAGTGCCGGAGAGAGATACACTTGACCTGCTTTTATGTGAATGGGCCATAAATACAGACAACAAAAACCATAACATGTGTTGCATTATCTTGATAGTAACATCTAACTTCACTCTAATCTTTTCTCTTCACCGATGGTTTTTGTGCGGTTGTGTGTCGTCACAGGTGCATTGCTCCCGTCTCCACCGCCGTTTCCCAGTTACCCACAGTTGTAACAATGGATTTGATTACGATTCAGAATTACACGGCACTAAATCGCACCTATCTTCCCCCTGCGTTTTGATTTTGAAAGGCGCGGATCAGTGAAAAACCCTGACTTTGCATCCACCTCAGTGATTGGATCGTTTGGAGAGCTGTGTCCAGAGCCAAGTCTATTTTTAGTAACATCAACAGTGCTATTACTAAACCATTACATCACCGGCGTTATCAAAGTTGACTCAATAGTTTTGGCAACAGATGATAAGTTACTCGATGTGTGAGGACATTTCGATAATCATTCTCAAAACAGGAAACGATTTTATGATTTTGTTCCTGTCATAGACCAAGACAAGGAAGTATTTATACGCTGACCTCACGTTCACAGTTTATAATTACCTGGAGCTCGGATTTCCACTGCCACCGTAGCCAAGAGCATTTACTCCACATACGCTGGAGAGATTCAGTATCAAACAATGAAGACTGTTGAGTACAAAGTGAAAATCTGCACAGGCTCCAGCTGGTTTGTTACATAATCTCAGCTCTCTTTACTATACTGCATTATTGGAAGCTAATTTGGATATGATGTTGTTTCAGAGAAGGCTTGTGTCCACATTCGTCCGAAGGGTTGTGGCCCTTGTGTCACAGACTATAAAGTTTTTATTTTTATTTGGTATTTACCTTGAAGAGAGCTGTTTTTGTCCTGTCTGCTTTTAAGTATTCATCACACGCACACACGCATGCATGCACACACACACACACACACGCACACACACACACACGCATGCACACACGCAAACGCACACGCACACACACGCACACACACATGCATGCACACACGCAAACACACACACACACACACACACACACACACACACAAACACACACACACATTTCACATCAAAACATTAAATCTTTGCCCTTTTGGATCTTCCAAAAACCAACTGTTGCATTATTATTAAGTATATTTCTCCTAAATCCATCGTTTTTCACCATAAACATGAATCGCTACTAAACTTGTTAAAATGTATTTATACTTGTGTCTTATTTTGCCAAATGTAACACTTTTATCCTTCTTTTTATCATTATTATGTTCAAGATAGAGATTGTATACGTGTTATTTGATGCTACACTTAAAAGTTTTTTTTCTATTTTAATGAGAATAGCTATTGTTCACTTATCTGTTGCTGTGTGCTCCTACTTCTTAATCTTAATCCCGCAAGATGGCTCAGTGGATAGCACTCTTGCCTCTCAGCAAGAAGGTCCTGGGTTCGAATCCCGGTCGGAACAGGGCCTTTCTGAGTGGAGTTTTGCATGTTCTCCCCATGTCCCCAACCACTAAAGACATACATTAGTTCAGGGTGAATGAGTGTGTGTTTGTGAGTGCGAATGTGGGACAATGGATGGAAATTAGCCCAAGGTACAATCCAGAGTGATGTGTTCATGAACAAGTACTGTCCCACCCAGATGAATGAATAAATAAATCTTGGAATTCTGTCATAGACCAAGACAGCGTTAATGTGTAACATGTATTTCTGTCGTAGACCAAGACATTATCACAAGAAACAAGGAAGTCTTTGCACGCTTGACGTCAGATTCTCAGTTAATAATCCACCGGGTTTTTAAAGGAGGAGGTATAAAAGCAGTGGAGCTGTTTACCTGGAGCTCAGATATCCACTGCGACCGTAGCCAAGAGCATTCACTCTGCATATGCTGGAGCGATTCAGTATCAAACAATGAAGACTGTTGAGTACAAAGTGAAAATCTGTACAGGACACTCTTTATTTGGCAAATCCTGGAGCAAAATCTACATAAAGCTGGTGGGGGAAGATGGAGAGGGGAAGCGCACTCGACTGCACAGCGCGGTTTCTGTCTTTGCAGGAAAGGTAACATTGGCCAAGTCTTTATGTAATGTTGAAAATGTATGATCGAGAGCAGGCTGGTCAAACTCGGACCCGTGGACCAAATCTGACCTGCGAGACCCTTTTCAGTGGCCCCTGAAATGATTGTCAATGATCATTAACTCGCAGCATTGGTGGTAATGGGATACTGTGGCATGTTAGTCTTCATTTTAAAGCCAGTTGTCTCAGAAAAACAACCGTATCATTTAATTGATATTTGACCCAGTTGTGATTGGATCCACCCCTACTGGAAAACATGTTGTCTAAAATGTTGTCTAAAATATGTAAAAAATACAACCTTTTTCATACTTCTGGCCCCAACCTGCTCTTCTATTTTAAATGTGGCCCCTGACAAAAATGAGTTTGACAGCTCTGATCTGAGACTATTGCCCGTGACTGTGCCGCCTACAGTCGTGTTAAAGCATCTTCACTCGTGTCAAATGGAGAATGATGCACAGACTGGGCCTGAAGGTGTTAGAAGAGTTTTCCTTGAGTTTCCCCTAAAAACATCTACAATTTAGAATGTGTCTGTTTTTGTCAAGACTAACCCAAACATGCACTATTCCAACCAAATACACAAATGAATATGGAAATTTCTCCATTGTGAGATCGATAAACTCTATCTGGTCAAAGCATCATACATGTCGGGGATCACTACATGAAAATAAATGATACAAGATACAAGAATTTATCTGCCATTTGCAGTAAAACCACATTGGAAAAACTGTGCAAGACTACCCCAGTGTGCACCAGACAGAGAAGACAACACACGAGTAAATGTAATTATGAATATTGCAATGGGAAAATGCCTTTTAGAGGCAGAAAAATCTTTTCTCATCCAAAATAACCACACAGACACTGAGCAGTGGTACTTCATGTGGTGCAGGAAGCCTCAGGGTCACAATGTACTGTAAATGATACATGTAAAAATGTATAATGTAATTATGTATCTGACATTTTCAAAGTGGAAGTCATGGGATTTGTAGGGCCCTGCCTGAAGAGAGAAGGATCTCCTGGTCTGGAGAAAGTATCATAAATATACTGAAGTGCTGTGTGTATACTTGTGGATAAATAGTTAAGTTATATAAATGAATAAATAAATACATGTTTTTCTCTCATAATGGAATTGTTGTTTTGAACAATAGGAGACCACCCACACCGTGAGCTGCTCCAAACCTCTCGGGAAACTTGTGTTGATTGAACTGGAGAAAATGAAGCAGCTTTTGCTCCCTGAAATGCCCTGGTTTGTGGACAAAGTTGAAGTGACATGTCCAGAAGGCAAGTTTTACACATTCCCCATTTACCTCTGGATTAGGGATGAAGAAATCCACTTCTTCAGAGAAGGAAAAGGTTAGTGCTAATTAAAACAACACAATAATTAAACAAAGCAGCAGAGCTCAACATCTGTGGATTCTCCTGACAATTTTCTTTGGTGGCATGCAGAGAAGCAGAGAACACATTTCAGTATGAGCCTAATACTGTCACCTTTTACTTTATAGTTACTGTGGCAAAATGAAAGAGCCTTCAGCATGCCATATCTGTTTTGAATGTGGTCAATGGATATATTATCTTTATGTATCTATGTTTGTGTATGTATGTCTATCTTATGCAATTAGATCTATGTAGAAGACTTTTTATTTTCCGATCATGCTACATGTGGTTCAGGTGTTTTTACAGAAGCTTTATTGTAACCAGAAGTGGGTTGAATACAATACAATGTTTTCGTGTATAGCCCTAAATCACAACATCAGTCATCTCAGAGACTTAACAAAACCATTGAAATCACCAACACAGATCAGAGAATCAACAGTTAAGACAGAACAAATAAACAACACATATGTATTGGTCCGTAGGGAGAGACCAATGGTCATGAACTTTGATAAATGTCCACATGTTGTAGAATGTAGAGTGTCCTGGATCACAGTCTTTTTGTGAGACACCAACTCCTGCATGAGAGAAAACAAAAAAAGCTAAGCTAAGCTACAGAATGAAGCCCGGAGCCACAGCAGAACATGAACATGTCTGGTGCAGGACTGAAGCAACTCCAGGCGAGGGGTTGAGCCCCCATTTTTCCCCTTAATCCATTTCTGGGTTGGAGGGATGGCAGACAGAGCTGCACCAGCCCCTCACTGAGGTGTCTTGCCCAAGGACACAACAACAGCAGACATCAGTGGGAATCGTGAAGTAGGTCTTGTGGTGGGTTCGAACCCACAACCTCCAGTCCCAATGACCAATGCTCTACCAACTGAGTCCCCATTATCCTATAGCTGTTATTTTAACACACATTCACTCTTTAAACACTTAATTTTAAACAAATGAATACAAATGGACCATGTGACCCAGGCCTCTCCAAGTCTTCTTCAGCCTGTTGCAATTAATTTCCAGCTCTCGTGGTCGGACTAGACCGAAGTCTTGTTGGCAAATATTCAAGAGACAAAGAGTTACAGGAAAGAAGGAATCAATACGGGTGAGTAATGTCCCATTGGTGTTCTATATTTTGTACCATGGTTGATTATAACAGCTCCATGACGCCGTGCCCCAGCTGGAAGGAGTATGCCCCGGGTCTGCCCCACAGCATCGATGTAGACGACATCGGCCAGCTGCCATGTGAAGTCCAGTTCTCCTTCACTAAACTGAAACAGTTCGTCTTAACAGCAGCTGAAGGGTATGGAAATATTATTATTATTATTATATTTTGTCTTAAAATAGTAACTCTGATCAGAACTACCTTGGGTTACACACAAATAACTTGCCTCCAACTCATCCCAAAGTGTATACCCCTCCACAGCCGAACTTCACTTCTCTTTAGCCTTAGCACACCTAAGCCATCTTTTCCCTAGTGTCCATCGGACCCCAACCCTAACCCAAATCTTAACGCTAACCTTAACCCTAAAACTAATCCTGGCCATCACATTCTGACGTCACTTATGTCCAAACTGGATGGATGTTAAAGTTCGAGAAATGTCCAATCTATTCTTTTCCATGGGTGGGGATCTATCTTTCACTGTCACTAGACATTCACAGTCACTGATTCAAATAAATTATGAAGTTTATAAAAGTGCTCGACCGGAAACAGGTGCCTTGCCCTCTACAGGTGGGTGGAGAGGTCCTTCC